GGGCTCTGGTTGGTGGAAATATGAATTTTGTTATGGTCGGCATGTAGAGCAATCATATTGAGAGTGATGGTAGAAGAACTTCTTTACTTCTTGGCAAATTTGACAAAGATGCTCACTTGAAATGGTTGAAAAAGCATCCTAATAAGAAACCTGCTGCTCCTGGTAATAGAAATTATATAATTGTTAAATTTTTATACTTTTCATGTTTCACATATTTCAGGCCATCGCAATCATTTATCACATTTTTACTCAGAAGGAAGTTACTGTGAAAAAATTGTAAAAAAGACGCCAAACTGAAGTTAAATTAAATGCTTGGAGAACTCTTCAAGTCCCAGCGCTGTTTCGTATATTTATTAGAACCAAAAACCTGTGAATACATAGTGGGTGTGGAATCCCCACTAATCTGCAATATTCTTCAGAAGGCTGATGAAAATGGCTTGTTTATTAAAGAAGATAAAGTTAGTGATATACTTATTGAAAAGATGATAATGATAAAGTAGAAACTAAAGGTAATTTAATTGGTGATTTGGATGTAAGATTTGAAAATGATTAATATATTATGAGGTATGTACATAATTTTAAGTAAATAAATTACAATTATTTAATTTTGTTTAATATTTTTCCTTTATAGGTACAATAATTCTATTTGAATGTTCTTTTTACGTCACAAATGAAATTTGTATTATAAATCAAGAATTTGTCATAAAGCGTGACACAAATAAAATTTGCACTTTAGTTTCTTGTACTCTGAATCACAAACAATGACATTACAAATATGAATTTGTCAGCTGCAAAATACTTTGATAGCTTTTGGAATAAGCGTTACTCTAATAGGTTTCACTTCATATTCTTCATTATCTATTGCAAACCAAACCGGTTTCTCTTCAGAAGAAATGGTTTCTGGTATTAGTTCAAGCATACGTGCATCTAACTTTTCCACAACATTACTTTTGTCTCCCTTTCTTTTCCAGCCTTCAGAAACAAAATCTCCATAGGTTATTTTGTCCGGGCCTAATTTTACTCTTAATGATGGTGTTCCATCAGCTTCTATTTGGGAAGTTGTTAGTTGGAAGTCGAGAGTTTCTATTGTTTTTTCATGCACTTGAACACAATCTTCATTATAAATTTTGCTGTAGTCAATTTCATCAAGTGGTTTCTTTTCTGTTACTTTGGGCAAAATTCGTGTCCACCATGACGAATGTTGAACAGTTGGTTTTTTTTTTTGAACACAATTTTGGCAACCGGAACAAGGATCACTATATGATAGTAGAGCTTTACAACTCCAGGTTAAGGTATCTTTGTAGCCATTAAATAGGAATGTTACGTATTCCCTTAAAGGACCATAGTACCAATATTTATCCCTGTTTGATATAGCATCACGAAATGCTCCCCATTGTAAACTGCCTACTGCATATACTGGCTTTGCTGCAAAATAATAACAACTCATAATAGTTCTAGATAAAAAATCACAACTCATAATAGTTTTAAATACCTTCTTTGGTTATCTCTTCTTCAGAATTTACTTGGTCAGCAAGTAGTTTTATTTGCATTACGTCTCTGTAAGTCTCTTTTCCTTGTAAGACAGCCATGGCAGATTTTGCTAAAGCAGAAACTCGTTTTATCCCACTTTCAGACGCTCCAGGAAACATTTCGGATCCTACATTACTACATCTGCCTAACGGCAAAACCCCAATGGGACAAGTTGCACCATCTGGTCGGCGTAACATTCCTGTTGAAAATAAATAAAATTTTATTAACAACAGGATAAATTGAAATATATCATGATGGGGTTTTATTTTATTTTTCACCTGTAACAGTTTCAGCTAATGTTCCATCTCCTCCAGCAACAAGTAAAGCGTCTGGTAATGTAGGCATTTCCTCTATAATTTTTCTAGCACTTCCTTCTGCAGTTGTACTTATAATGTTTACAGAGAACCCACCCAAATGCAAAATTGGCTCACAATATTTCTTAAAATGGTCATTTGCTGATCTTTTGTTTGCCGCTGGATTTAGTACAACTGTGACACTTTTGGGCAGGGTTGAGGCTGCAATAGGCAAATCTCCATATTTTATTGCCTCCTGACAATACTTTCGCATTAAGCAATTGATTCTGAAATTACAATTTCAATTTTTAGAGACATAATACTTTGAAGGTTGTAATAATTTTAGGTTAATTTTAGTTTTTTTTTTTACATACTTATATTTTTCGTTTCCATACGATATTCCATAAGAAACAGCAAGAGCAGCAAATACTGATTTTTTCCAATTATTTCGTATTGTTTTTGCAAATTTTATTACTGATGACATTTTTAATTGTCAAATTTGTCATTTATGTAGTTTGCATTTTTGAGGTTATAAATTTGATTTAATTCGTGGACGACTTTCATCTGTCAGTGACACCAACATTAACATACAAAATTATACGACTGAAAACAATAACTGCAATTTTAAATTTAAAAATATTTTGGACAATGTTACATATTAATTAAAAAACAATAGTTGAGTTTATATACTAATTATGAAGATAATTATTTTAATTTTTTCAATTCATATTCAAAATCCGCAAAACACATTGTAAAAACGCTACGTCTGAATAAGTATAAACTATGATAAAATTTTGTTAAATTGAAAGTGAAAGTGAAAGAACAGGCTTATAAAGGGTTGAAGTTTAAACCACTTTTCAAATTTTATTTATTTAAATCCATGAGGTTGTAAATGGGGCCATAATGGGTCTGTAATAACCTGGAAGGTTTTAAATGGGTCTGTCTAAGATTTAACCATACGTACACTCCGTTTCACCTGTGAAGAATTGGGATCAATGCCGATCTTAATTGCTATTGCTTGGGTGGAGCGACTAGGGCGGATGCAGAGCACGCTATTATGGAATGCAAAAAATGGGAATTGGCAAGAACTATGGAGGGAGATAGTAAGGCAAAAAATCTCCTTACGCAATAATTTTATAACATTGTTGACGAAAAAAGAATATATAGCGCGCTATATATTTATATACAAGCTAATAAAATAAATTGTAAAGCTAACTTATAAAATGTATATGTTTAATGTACGTGTATATACAAAGTCATAAGATAAAAAAATGGGTGTGCACTGTGACAGGTTTGACGTTGTATGGGTATTATACAATATATTTTTTTTTTTTGATATGCGAAAAGTTGCGGGGAGTATCATCAAACTGATTCATCGGATTTTTGTTCCACATATTTATGAGGATTATAATTGCTCGAGTAATTACTCATAGATCAATGATCAAATCTTTGCTCAAAATTTTTAAAATAGTTTTTTTTTTTTTGAGAAATGCGAAAAGTTGAGGAGTATCATCAAACTGCTCATAGAGTTGCTAAGTTCGGATTGATGTTAAAAATAATTAAAGTTATCTGTAGCACTTTAAATATCAATACAAAATATTCACGTTGCTTCTAACTGTTATTGAATCAGAATTTCTGCTAGTCAATTTTTGTTTTACGAAAATAGAATCAAGTCAATTTTATTGAATAATTACTCTATTTTTTATTCTCTGAATAATAGAAACCAAAAAGGACTTTAACGTTCGTGCGACTATCTTACATATTTAATTGTGTTTTAGTTAAATTGCTTCATTTGCCAAACTTTATCAAGGGTGTACTTGTTCCAAAAAACTTTAGGTAATTTTATATATTTATAAAGGCTATGATGTCATTTTGTAGCAAATATAAGTACAGAACCATCATATTAGTTGTACTAGGTCTTGAACAAGATATCAACTAATAAATCTCAAGAAAATAATTTTTGAAATGAATCCTAAAAGTAATATAATTACTTTTAATACAAGTGCAAAAT